GTAGCCCACTCAGGTGCCTTAAGCACTGCTATCAATTGAGGCCCTAAGTAAAGGAGGAACAAAAATATACTGAGGGTGCAAACGAGTTCTTGGTGATGGGACGTTATTCAGAGTAGCCCACTCAGGTGCCTTAAGCACTGCTATCAATTGGGGCCCTAACTAAAGGAGGAACAGAAATATACTGAGGATACAAACGAGTTCTTGGTGATGGGACGTTATTCAGGGTAGCCCACTCAGGTGCCTTAAGCACTGCTATCAACTGGGACCCTAACTAAAGGAGGAACAGAGATATACCGAGGATGCAGACGAATTCTTGGTGATAGGACGTTGATAACTGGAAAACATTCTCATTTCAAGTTCGTGGAAAGCCCACCATTGGTGTCGACTGATCCAATAGAGGTAGATTGATAAAGTCTTCACTCGTGCCAAGCGGCCCATCCAGGCAAATTTTTTCCCGGTTTCCTTGGCAAGAAGCAATTAGGAATATTACTGCTCCCTCCTGGGTGGGATGCCAGTCCATTCAACGTGAACTTATTCCTGGGTGTTTCGTCAACTTTCCCTGACGGTTCGCTAGTATCCATTTATATTCCTGGGTGGAGAGAGGCACTGTGTGAGTAAACTGTTTTGCCCAACAACACAACCCTGTCAGTGGCCCGGGGTCCATTTCTCGAAAGTCCCGGTAACTTAACGGGCCCATAAAGCTGTTCTGTTTTCATTCAAGATGGGGATTTCAAAAGTTTTGAAAATGATGCAATAAAACTATCAGCTAAAGAAACAAAAAGGACTGGTTTGGGTGCCAGATAGGCCTTTATAGATTATACTAGCATAATTTTTGGCATAATTTGAGCAAACTGGCATAATTTCTGCCAAGTAGCAATGCTAGCATAATTCGCATATTTTGATAATTATGGGATCATTTTTGATGCTACAATTTGATCATTGTTAATCTCTACATCCTAAGCATTTGGTGACGTTATTCGATGTTTTAAGTTTTAGTTCAAGTAGTAGCATTTGTAGTTCATTGTGAATCACTGAGCGGCGTCTGAAACGGTCTGAGCCCGGGTCTGGGGTGCACCGGAACCGGAAGTCACGTGGTAGGCCATGTATAGTCTAGTGCTAGTGTGCATGTTTACAAGAACCACATGTTTATTTGAATTTCATTGTGGATTTGTTGCGTTTCTTTCTTGTAGACCAACGGCTTCTAATTAAAAAATGTATTTTTTGGACTTATTTGCAATTTTTTCAAAGAGCACAATTTTAAAAAAAAGGGGCATCATTTGGAAAAAAGAGCATAATTTTAGCATAATTTATCCAAAAGAAAAGCAATGCTACTAGTATAATATGCTACTTTTGCTAGAATAATCTATAAAGGCCTAGTGCCAGAACGTGCTTTCATATCCTTACAATTTTGATTTTAAAACATAGTTACGGGCCCGTAAAGTTACCGGGACTTTCAAGAAACGGGCCCCTAGCCACGTACGGCTTGAACTGGGAGATCAGCCCGTTCAACCTAAGCCATCGCGCCTTCACATCCAGCACAAAGCCGACCTATTATAACACTTGATTAATCACACGGAAAATTTTTTTGTCAGGGATATCATCAGGACTTATAAAAAATAGTTTGTATACTCTTCGCTCGATTAAATCGGACGAAAACGGGACAAAAGCCGAAAAGAGAATATTATATACGCACGATATTCGGTCTGCAGAGACAAGCAGGCTGTTATGATCTGTGAAACGATAAACAATAAGCGCGCGTAGGATTACCTTGTGCTTTCGTGACAATTTTTTCGTTCTTAGTTCAGCCGTTTCGTTAGTTAGCTTCTTTATATTCCGTTCAATTGGTTGCTTCTATCAAATTTATCTCCTCAATAGCTTTACTCTCTAACACTCTTTGATCACGGTTGCTTCCTTCGATGATTTGTTTCCTTTCTTTTCTTTTTATATGAATTAAAAATATACAATTTAGTTTGGATATATGTGTGCATTTAAAAATCCACTCCCTTACACACTTTGAAAATAATATTTCTGCTCCTCCGTGATCGGAATATTGTTTGGGAAAGCTATTTAAAGACAAACCACTTCAGAAGAGCACGTTTTCTACCAAACTTTAACAAAGATGCAAATGTCATTGGGCCGCTCTGATTATTACAATATGATTTTACTCGATATTTGATACCTCTCGAGTTGATGTATCAAATTTGTTCAAAGTTATGATGTACGTGCTAAGTTTCCAAGTAACGCCAACAGTCAATAAGAATTTTCATTGTTTTCTGGCGGCGCAATATTTCCTTTGCAAAAATTTAACGGTACTATACAAATTGGGACAAATCACTTTTAACTTGCAAAAAAAAAAAAAAAAAAAAAAAAAGAAAAAAAACAAAGAACCGTAAATAATTAAATTTCTAAATATATCACAGGCGGCCCAAGCTCTCTTTGAGAACCACACAAGGAACACAATTTGCATATCGATTCATAAGGATTTGTATGGGATTTTCTACAAGATATCCACAGAGATAGTTAAAAGTGAAAATATTAAATAAAAATGGCTTACCTTATTCCATACGTGTCTTTTTTGCTCCTGGTGTCATTATTTTACCGACTTCACTTGATTTGAGCGATTTTTTGGAATCCTGGTTCTCTACCACATAAAGAGCTCAAAGAGAGCTTGAGCCGCCTGCCTGTGAATATATGTAATATTTCATGTTCCCCTGTTGAAGGCCATAGATCATATTAAAGATTAGGAACAGTCTGAAGCTGTTTTTTTAGTGTATTCAGCCGCTGAATATTTTTGCAGAAAGAACCAAAGCAAACGCGCGAAATTAATAATTACAATAAAACACGAGATTAGAAATTGTTCAAGGAATACCGAGGCCTATAATTATATTGACAAACCATATAGCGTTAATATTACCAGTTCACTTCAAGTTTTCAATATTTTTTCTTACATTTTCTTTTATCGTGCACCATTTTCATTCTTATTTTGGTTTTGAAAAACCATATCAGAGAATGCTTATCTTGCTTTTTCCCCAGAGGCAGATTTAATCATTTTGATTTCGGTCCAAAAATGAAAAAGAACCGAGAAAAACTTATCTGTTCGAGGATCAAAAGAAACTTTGGTCAACTTAAACAGCGAGAAACGAAGTGGCCGCTGAAAGATAAACAGAGAAAATAACAGCAAGCAGCTGCTATGGATATGCGACCGACTTTTTAAAAATTGTAATGAAAGTCTACAATTTCTTGCCTTGCAAAGCTCGTGGCTAATGATTGACCGTCGCAAATGAATAGCGCATAAAATTACAACTTGTAATAACACAGATATTATATGTCTAAGGCGTCATTTTAAGCAAAGTTACGTCGCAGTATGTAAAAAATAGTACAATTCCTCCTTGCCGTTCATATCTGACATTGTTTTCAAAACACATCGATGAAAGTCTTGGCAGATACCTTTTTACTGTACTTAATGATAAATTTAAAGCTCGCCTTAAAAGCTGCTCGAGGCCATGACTTTAGTGTGTCTAATGTTTCTGTCTTCGACAGCGTAATTGATGTTTTCTGTGGGTTCTAACCAATGTTTGAAAATTAGGAGGTGGTTTCTAAGTGTTTTTTTTTTTTAAGACCGCCTTATACATTTTAATTTCTACATGCTTATAAAAAGGGTGTTACCTAGAACAGACACTTTCGAATATTGAACGCAACAGAGTCGAGATCTAGAGGGATATATAAATCCTTACATTACTAATCACTGTACGTTAGGAATACCGTTAAAATCCTTACAAGTATTTTGGTTGTAATGACTCAAAAAAATGATTGAAAGATTACCGTTTTAGATAACACAGACAGGCATATAGCAAGAACATTGAAGGAAAATCTCGGTAAACCACATCGATTCCTGAGGGTGTAAGAATAACACACCGAATAATTATTTCTTTGTCTTTCAAATGAGACGAACGCAATAACTGGTTCCCCGTCAGGAAATTCAATTTACGAACACCAGTGGGAAGTGCATATATCATTAAACTGACAATCCGTCGATCGAGCTGTCCTTGAGGAGCGACACAGTTTGGTCTGTGAACGTGACGTACTCCTTCGTTTTTGTAAACAGCTGAGAACAAATAAAAAAAAAACAAATAAACGAAAACTTTGTTTCCCAGGCATTTGTCATAAAGCTGCTCATCTAATTACTCAACTGAAGACGAGCTGTTCAGTGATGGTTTCATTTCGCCTTGGCGATCAGTTCAAAGGTATTTGCTTTGCGCATGCAGACTAAAGAAACATTGCGATAACAGACTGGAGGCAGCGCTCTAAAACGTTCTGTGGTATTCATTCCCCCGAGTTTTCAACACCTTTTGACTGAGACCAGCCTGGTTAGCCAAAAGTTATCGACGGTGGGATAAAAATCAAGCTCGGACGCGAGCTCTGGAAAAAAAAAACAAAAACCAAGAGATCAGGCGACACAACTTGCTATCAAGCAGCGAAGAACGGAACCCTCAAATGGCCGCAAATGAAAGTCAAACGACGAAATTTAAAAATCTAATGGATTTGTACATGAAGTTTGAGCTTGCAGAGGGAATTTGCCTGTCAGTCCTGTCTATTTTAACGGTTTCCACCAACATTCTACTCTTGGTAGCAATTTGGAAAGACCCTGAGAGAAGTTTTAGATCTCCAACTACTTACTTCTTGATAGGCCTTGCTATTGCAGACCTCTTCACTGGCATATCGACCGAACCATTTTTCGCCGTATTTTACATCATGAATTTCCAGAGTGGAGGCAAACATATTCCTAGCATGGTAACCAAACTCTACAACATAGGACAGTCAATATCGACTGTAACAATAAGCTCCTCGTATTTGATAATCCTGGGTCTTTCGATATCGCAATACATCGCCATTAAGTGGCCACATAAGTACAAAGTTTTAATCACGCGAAATCGCGTCATCGCAAGTGTCGTACTGAGCTGGGTGTATTTTATTTGTTTCACACTGGTACTTTCTTGCACTCCAAACATTGATTCCAAATTGTTTCTTAAGGTAGACTTAGCCTTGCATCCTGTTTTGATATCCACTGTTTTATTCATAACGTTAATTTTATTATACAGAGTTTTCTCGCAGGAAGTCCAGCGAAGGCGATCATACCGAAAGTCAAACATTCAGAACGGAACTGTCAAAGGCAAATCAGAAAATCTTCAACGGCAATTTATAATTGTCACCTTTTATTTAGCAGCGATTCTTTTGATCTCAGCTTTACCTCATATCGCTGTTCAGTTTGTCTGGCTTTACGCAGAGCTTTCCGAAGAAGGGTTATATTATATATTCATGGCTTTACGAGTTCGAGATTTGTTGCTATTTCTCAAGGTAGCGCTCGATGCCTTCATATACGCTTGGCGATTGCCATCATATCGTAAAGCCTTAAAAAGGTCGATAAACTATTCAAAGCGTGGTAGTAAATCTTCGGTTGAAATAAAAGCGTGAGTTGAGCAAAGGTGGAAAAAATATATTTCGTCATATTGTGAAAAAATAATAGAAAAAAAAAAACGAAGTAAAATATAACAAACGGCTTTTAGAAAGCAGTTGTTGCTTTTTTCTTAAGGGGCCTGTGCAAATTGTTAAATTAAACCGGAGAACCGCCTTTTGTAGAAACATCAGCGGGAAGTGAAAACAAAATTATTTTTCGATCACTTTGATCGGTTGAGGACTCGAAAATTATCAATTTACTACAGTATAACTTTCAAAAGACTGTCTCACGTTTGGACGACGCTTGGAACAATTAACTTAGTCTGCAATTTATGTCAGAACGATTCTTGATAAATAATTCAGTAACAAAATAGGAAATAAATTATCATCAGAAACTCCAGTAATGTTGTCAGATTGTCAAGTGTCATTAGTTTTGGACCAACCATATTTGTGATGAACACGCTGGTTTATTGACTCGCGATAAGTCGGATTCCAATTTATTTTCCCGCTGTTGCCAAATGCGTCATTTCTGTAATACTCGTCTTGTGCGCCGGATTTGCATCTTTTTCAAAAGTGGAATTCTGCAATCTTTTTCATGCTGTGTGGTAGTACAAATTGCTCAGTTGAACGAGAGATCAAAACCATAGCTCTTAGCGACATGCGTACGAACGAAGTGCACTTCGGTAATCATTTGCATACACCTTCAATTCTTAAAAAAAAAGAGGGGACAACGCTTTTCTTTTTAATGTGAACGAGATAGACAAAAGTTATGCAACGTCAGTTCGATCTTACTGTTTTATCAATTCGATTATTAGAACAATTCTAATTAATGCACATAATGATTTTGGGAAATTGGTGTTACCGACACAGATGTCAATTTAACCATTTTAACCGAAACAGACCTGAGGTGATCAAAAATAATTTCCTGTGCTTTCCACAACCTGAAATTCCATTTCATTTGAGTACACCCGTCGGCAAGATAAGCAATGAATTTTACACCAAACCTAAGTGCCGAAAAAGAGAGGAAAGAAAATTGGTGAATTTCGTGCTTTTTTTAATTACGGAGGGTCCACTTACCCTCTTGCTGCATCTAAAAGCATTGTGTGATCCAATCTTTTTCTTTTTTTTAATCCTGGAATACTATGTAAGAAATGAACCTTTTCTTGCAGTTAATTCTTCATAGCTTGACAAATGAACGCTTCAAACAGTGTTTGGAGCACTTAGATACCCGTGACAGTTAGGTGACATTGTCATTTCCTGACGCAACAACCAAAGGGTAACAGGTTGATCTTTTGCGACAACTCGACGGCAAAGACCATTTCTAGCCATTAATCTTACTTCCGTGCTCTTGTTTCTCGATCTATTAGCCTCTTTATCACGAGGAAAGTAAAGCAAGTCAAATATGGAAACGTAGCCCGAGGGACAATTGGACTCATCATACATGAAGAACGGAAACAAAATCAAACAAATTGTCTGAAAACTGTCTTGGTCTTGGGTCCGCTAAAGTCTTCAAGCTGAATGCTAAAAATTTAACCTGCACCTTTGGAACGCGCAATAAAGTTTGTATGGAGAAAGGAGGCTGTAATTTTAAGGTGGAAGGACAAGAATGGGACTATAGTAATTAGCTATTGCTGTTGTGGTTGCCTGCCCGTTATTGTTATTGTAATTTAAGCGTGTTCTATGTTGTATGTATTGTTGGCAAAGCTAATAAACTCAATGAAATTAAATTAAATTAACAACATTTGTGTTAATTATGGATTAGATCCCTTAAAAAAGCCAATCTGGGAATGGTACCAAAATGTATCTCTTAAGAGATTTACTTTACTATATTTACTATATCCCCAGTGACTTATAACTAATTACTTGCTAATTGCCTTCGACGCTGAAAATAATCGAAAGAATTTCTTTATTTTTTTAGAGATAAAGATACATTACGTAAAAGCAATTGGAATATGGAATGGGTGATTGCGTAGCGTGCGAACAAACTGTTTAAAACATACCTTCACCCAAGTTAACTTTACAGTTTCTATTTTTCAAAGGAATATATCATACCGAACGTATGGGCATTCCTTTTATTTAGGACCTGTAAATGGATTTGCCTTGAAAATTATCTATTGCTCGCTTATCTTTAAGGATCTAGATTTTTAACAAAAAAACAGGTCCTAAAAACGTGATGTTATGGGTAGCAGCACTTTAATTACGCGCAATGATCCCACAAGTATCATCGCACTTAAAATAACCGATTCGATATGTTTGTTATTCAGGTGGCCTTTCTAAAATAGGTAATTGAATTAAGAGGTATATAAGAAAAATAAAATGATAAGCTATCTTCAAGGCATGCTTAGCGCCAGTGGAAAAAATTTGCAATGGGTGCACAAATCTTTGAAAAATGAACTTACGTTAAGATGAAATGCATGCAATGTGGAAACTAAATCACGTGAATCAACAAAGAAGGAATTTCGATCAAATGCCGTCGCAGCCACTCACTTTTGGGCAAAACAAAAATCATCGCACTTTATTCTATTAACTGGAGGGAGGAGTGGGTGTAGGTGGAGGGTTTATGTGCTAGACCTTGCATTTTGCATTCTGCAGATTGTTATTATAACAGCATCCCCTGGCTGCCACTGAGCGGTCAGGACAACATTGTTGTGTATCAAGGGAGAAAACACTAGAGAAACCGCAGCACCCCTAAAAGAAAAAGAAAAGAAACATTGAGGTGTGAACGATTCAAAAAATTACTCAGCTTGACAAGTTCTGCAAATTTTTCAACTCAATTTGTAAGGCGATACTTGGGATGTGGTGGTGCTGGTGATTAGGGGGAAGGGTTGGGGAGATTTAAAAGATCCATTTGAACGGGACGTTTCAAATTTCATCAAATCTGATTGGCATCCTTCCTCTCCCTGTCGAAAAGCTAAGGTCCACGAAATCCCTTCATTCGAATGCATTGACGTCACGATTTCATTTTTGAGTAGGGGTCTAAGATTCTTCTTTGCATCGTGCCTTTTGATATTTTTTTTCCTATTATACCACTGAACTCAGTAATATTTTCTACATAATCTTTTGTTTGTTTGTTTGTTTGTTTTTTACGTATTTACGGCTATTCGTTTACTTCTATGTTTATTTTGTAATTACCTATCGGATATCAAAGACCACCAAAGTTGTAAAAACAATAAGTTCACCATGTTTTGACAATGAAAGCTGTGTTGCCATGTTTACCTCTTTAGAAGGGTCAAATGACACCTGGCCACAGCAACGCGGGGACCTGATACCCGGTGGTCTGTAGGTGATCTGTCGAGCACAGCACAACTGATTGGATGGGTAATATGGTGTCAGACCACAACAGCTCATTGCCACGTTCGAACTAGGCTTGGAATAAAGGTTTGAACCACAGCATACCTTCGTCAAAATACGAAGAAAATTTTAATCACTGCGACAGCAAAGGAAAAGTTATGAATCTCAACAATAGAATTCAGCTTCTTACTAAATACTTCAGCTGAGAATGTAACTGATCGATGATTTTAAAAAACATCGATCACTGAGGTGGATAGAACACTAGGAAACAAAGAGCATTCCACGCCGCGAAAATCGGGTCGATTGATTCGATAAAGGAAGTTGTTTGCTGTTGGCTAGCATTGTAATGTGAAATATTAAACGAGTTCGTCATAAAAAAAACCGTTTTGTTCCGTTAGTTCACAAGCTTGGGAGGCTATAAACAAGTGATACTCAGTTATATGCACCTATAACGCAGCTTCAGTGTTCACAATGTGGAATTGACGAATTCTTTATGACGAGTGCTAGTCTTTTTCAGGCTCTCGGTTGGTAAAACTGTGCGAAGTAAATGGACAGCGGAGGAGTGAAACAGCGGGGGAGATATGGGTCGGTTACGCGGAACAACCCAACGGTCTCCCTCGTTTTTTCTCTGTGTAGTTACCAGCGCGCCATTTACAGTCGCACTTCGTATAACTGACGGAACGCCTGGAATAAGTAAGACTAGTGTGTGATGGCTGTGAAAGAGAAATGTCATTTTCAGATCCCGACGACTACTCTTCAGCAGGCAGTTAACAGCAATTGCAGAATTTGTACAAAGTAATATCATTATCGGTAGCCGATCATAAGACCGAGGCATTTCACTTAAACACTATCAAGCTCCCTCTTTTAATTTGTTTCCTTGAATATTTTTAATTGTTTTCATATTTGCTTCGTTTTACCTACCCTTTGTCTGCGATCATATGCGACACTTCCACAGCAAGCGGTTGATGTTCCTGTTGGTTTCAGTATCACTCTTCGGTTGCAACAGAGATGTGTGGCTCTGTTATATGTCTTTGGACTGGAAAACGATCTGGAAGGGAGCAATAGTGCTGAATATACTGTAAGCAGACCCTAACAGGTCTTGATAACTTATAAATTGCGTCAAAATTATGTCATTCTACGGTAAGGTAAATGAAAGAGTTTTAACCCGGAAAAGCTGGCATGGCACCGTTATAAGAAGCCCTGGGGTTCCCACTACAAAGAAAGGCACTCACCCACAGCATCCAAGTCTAGAAGGAAAGGGATCCGATGAGCTGATTATTTTACCATAGCAACACTTCTGCCTTGAGGAATCAAAAACCGCCCTGCCACAGCAAGCATGTGAGTTTGAACGCTTGCCACGCAACTGGCCACTACAGCATAGGAAGCTCTTTGGATCATATGAAGTACTTCCACAGCAAGCCCTATGAGCAGGCGATTGCTTTGCTACGACGTTTCGATTGCAGCAGAGTTGATTTGCAGGATTGTATAGCTTGCCGAAGCAGCACGCTTGTTGGCGAGGATCATACAGTTTTGTGGTGCAGCAGCGTTGTTGGCGAGGATCATATGGACTGCTTCCACAGCAAACCCTATGTGTAGGCAATTGCTTTGTCACGACTTGTCGATTGCAGCAGAGTTGATTTGTTAGATTGTATGGCTTGCTGAAGCAGCAGCGTTGTTGGCGAGGATCATATTGAGTGCTTCCACAGCAAGCCCTATGAGCAGGCGATTGCTTTGTTACGACTTTTCGATTGCAGCAGAGTTGATTTGCAAGATTGTATGGGCTGCCGAAGCAGCAGGCCTGTTGGCGAGGATCATACAGTCTTGTGATGCAGCAGCGTTGTTGGCGAGGATCATATGGATTGCTTCCACAGCAAGCCCTATGAGTAGGCAATTGCTTTGTCACGACTTTTCGATTGCAGCAGAGTTGATTTGTTAGATTGTATGGCTCGCTGAAGCAGCAGCGTTGTTGGCCAGGATCATATTGCGTGCTTCCACAGCAAGCCCTATAAGCAGGCGATTGCTTTACCACGACTTGTCGATTGCAGCAGAGTTGATTTGCAAGATTGTACGGCTTGCCGAAGCAGCAGCGTTGTTGGCGAGGATCATAGGAAGTGCTTCCACAGCAAGCCCTATGAGTAGGCGATTGCCTTGTCACTACTTTTCGATTACAGCAGAATTGATTTGCTCGATTATACGGCGAACCGAAGCAGCACGCTTGATGGCGAGGATCATATGAAGTGCTTCCACAGCAAACCCTATGAGTAGGCGATTGCTTCGTTACTGGTTGAAGGTTGCAGCAGATTTGGTTTCGTGGATCATACAGTCTTATTCCACAGCAAAACTTTCCTGGCTGCCTAAGTTGTACTGTGTTTTTGCAACACAAGTATTTGGATGGGTCGTAAAGGGTGCGTCCACAGCATCGGCTTAAAGCAGCGGATAGTTTTGTCACTGGTCGACGGTTGCAGCAGACTTGTCTCTGAGGATCATACAGTCCCGTCCCACAGCAGAACTTTCCCAGCTGTTTGGGCAGTAGTGTGTTACTGCAGCAGATTTGTAGCCTGGGATGGTAATATCTTGATCCACAGCATACATAACCAGATTTCTTTGAATAAACTCGGTTGAGGCAACAGACGCTTGTTGAAGAATTGTACCGAGCGCTTCCACAACATCGGTACGGTAAGATTGGCGGCGGCGGGAGTATGGAGGTATGGCCACCTTTAATTAGCAGGGGTCGACATTGTGGCCTCGGCTGACCCGGAGGGCCTATTGGACCCGATGGACCAGACACTTGGCAGTTGATTGCCACAACTTTCATAAATAAGTAAATAAATAAAAAATACATTAATAATGATCCAGTTCAAATAAATCAATTAGAATGAAGTAATTATCGATAGCTTCGAGGCAGTCACTTATATCGAGGGTGTTCGCTACGTTTAGAATTTTAAAGAGGACAGGTCAGTAATGTGATCATCTAGTCACGTGACATCTTATAAATATTATATTAGGCTGAGAATTGACTGTTTTAATAGCGATGATAAGAGCATTTTGATGATATGTTCCCTCGGTGGCGCGCAGCTGTATCGCTCTTGTTGTTACCCTTTGGAGTTTTATTTTCACTTTTCTTTTCGATGCCTGAGGAGTCTTAAATAAATCAACCTGACACCCTGACAACATCAACACGGATAATGGACCAGAAAATCCAAAAGCTTAGACGACCATGAAACACAAATATAAAAATGATATGGGAAGTAATTACAAGATGAGACAAAAGGTTATTGCTTTATCATATTGAACTTCACCTCGACGGGCCGCCCCAAACTTTGCCAAACAATAGACTGAAGATGGAGGAGGACTAGTATTAAGAATCTGGAATACTTATGACAACCGAGAATAATCTCTCAGTACGAGTGAGTAACGCCTAAGAGTTAACAAGCAACTCGTTCGAACGTGCATGTGTGGAAACTACAAATATTTAATTACGACCCTTAACCCTATCACTTAAATACTAGCCTTTATAGACCTTTAACCACAAAAATGTTTAAAAGGGAAAGCAGCACACAAACGATTTACGTTTGAGCCACAGAAAAAGGAAGCGATCACTCCCCCCCTTCCTTTTCTAATAAAATAATTAAGGTTGCTTGACAGTGTATGCCCTAAAATAGAGGACAGGCTTCGTTGAAATTTTTGTGGAACATCTTATGTCATCAACGGAAATGAACACTAACTTTTCTCGGTTAGGTGGAAAATGAGGAGTGCGGAGTGCGGAGTGCGGAGTGCGGAGTGCGGAGTGCGGAGTGCGGAGTGCGGAGTGCGGAGAGTGCGGAGTGCGGAGTGCGGAGTGCGGAGTGCGGAGTGCGGAGTGTGGCAAATAGTGAGTGTGGAAAATGTGGTGTCAAAAATGCGGAGTGTGGAAAATGCAGAGTGTGTTTCGGCTTCATCAGGATAAAACTACAAAATACATTATAAGAACTGATTTTATACTAGACCTTGTCAGAACATATCACGTTCCTACTTGGCGTGTGAACAACAAAACACCCACAAGAATAACGCACAGGATATGATTAAAATCCTGTGCTAGAAGGTGCTTTTGGGGCTTCACAGTTTTAACGTTAAAAACAAAAAGGTAAAAGGTAAACAAAAGAATCAAATGAGCGAAACATTACTCTCAGTTTGTTGTAGCTTAAGCATAGCATTTTTTCACTTTTTTCGAGTGTGAAAAATGCGGAGTGTGAAAAATGCGGAGTGTGAAAAATGCGGAGTGTGAAAAATGCGGAGTGTGGAATATACATAAAATAAAAAGACATAAAAATATATACATGCATAAACATTGTCTTACTTTGGCAATACTGTTATTGTCTGTAAGCTTGTCTTTGGCTAGTTAGCCGTAAATATCATAAATTGGCAGAAAGGCACTCCATTTCCTTTAAGGCGATGCATCATTGAGTTTTCACTACTAAACCGTACATTACATTTTCGTACATTACATATCTTTTTTACAGTAGTGCCGGTTGCTGACCAACACGTTGCTTGGTTTTAAGTCTCGATGTACGACATTATTTGAATGAAGGAAACAGAGACCTTCTGCGACGTCCTTTGCAGCCTTCGCAAAAACACGCAAGAAATACTCAAAGGCTTCAGTTTCGCCCTCGATGTGGTCAAGAGTGTTTAAAAACTCTAACAAATTCGATATTTGATGGTTGAGACCGAAGGGTCTAAAATCGTAGCACTCATAATCCATCATTATTGCCACTGGCTTTGAACAAAACGCCGATAAACCTCGCAAGGTTTGGATGGCAGATGCTCTAAAGCATTTTTGCCTCCTTTGCAATGTTCTTTAAGAGAGAATTCCCCTCTCCAAAAAATCGCTTAACAACAACGACTTTACCTTAGGTACGTAGTTGCCTTTCATTACCGATCCAAAGCTTCCCTAACCAATCTCGTCCTTATCTTTCACGTCACTCCACTCAAAACTGGGCAGGTCCTCGAAGTAACCTTTCGAAAGCGATTTAGGCTGAATAAGAGAGATTTTAAAGGCCATTATGGCCCTCTGTGAGTTTGACCACGTGGAGATCAATGCCAACTTGTACTCACCTGTGAATATGAAAATTAAATTGAATCTACCCATGGCTTACAAGTAACGTATTTCGCAAGATTCGCACCATTTAGGTGTTAACGGTAACACCTTTTTGAACGTGACCAAAAATATTTTTCAGACGCTTTCTTTCAATTTATAATATTCACAGCTAACTAGCCAAAGAAAAGCTTACAGGCAATAACAGTATTGCCCAAGTAACACAATTTTATGCATGTATATACTTTTATGTCTTTATTTTATATATATTCTACACTCTGCATTTTTCACACTCGAAAAAAGTGAAAAAATGCTATGCTTAAGCTACAACAGACTGAGAGTAATGTTTCGCTCGTTTGATTCTTTTGTTTACCTTTTACCTTTTTGTTTTTAACGTTAAAACTGCGAAGCTCTAAAAGCACCTTCTAGCACAGGATTTTATTATTCTTGTGTGTGTTTTGTTGCTCACACCCCAAGTAGGAACGTGACATGTTCTGACAAGGTCTAGTATAAAATCAGTTCTTATAATGTATTTTGTAGTTTTATCCTGATCGATGAAGCCGAAACTGGTCTATTGATAAACTCAATACTACAAGACAATTTGCTGTGTGCTGCCCACTATTTTCCACACTCCTCATTTTCCACACTCCTTGTTTTCCACACTGCTCATTTTCCACACTCCGCACTTTCCACACTCCGCACTTTCCATACTCCTCATTTTCCACCTAACCACTTTTCTTAGCCAAAAGTCAACATTATAATCTGACAGGCTTCAGGATATCCGTCTGGAAATCTAAGGGATCAACCTCTTTCTCGCTCTCTTGCGTGCGAGGGTTAACATAAATGAAAATGACAACCAGACCAATATCGTAACCACCCTTTAAAGACTTGAAATACATATTGCACTTCAATTCTGAATAATACGTCCCATTAATTCCTAAGAAAGATGATAAATTTTGAGCTCGGTCCTCATGGGGACTCAGAATTTTTTTCTTTGTCCCGCGCTTGTGATAAGACGAACAAAATCTTTCCCTATTTCTTTACCGAGGTCAAAATTCACCCTTTTTTAATTCTATTTACAAACATGACGCTATTGACATTGCAGATCATAGCAGTATGCAGGACGCGTATCAAATATGAACTTCGTAATGGGCCTTCCTCATCATAGAGTCTTTGTGCCTCAGTGGTTGAACCGGCGCGGAATCCGAAGGTCTGCGGTAATATACCTCATGGGACTCAGAACGCCATCTTTCTCCATTTCATTACCGAGCTCAAAATTTGTTATCTTTCTTATCCTATTTACAGATATGTATTTCTGTTACTACTTTTCACATATTTCTTCTGTTGAAGCAGCTTAGTTTTTCCACTTCCATTTACGTAGGATGTTATGTCGCCAAACAGCCAACGCACTTTCCGGGGTGGGAGAATTGTAGCCTTTCACGAGTTACTAAGACTTAAAATTCCCTGACCATTACATAGCAATATGGCACGAACTTGGAAGTAGAAAAGTTGAAGAGGTTACTTAAAACGATTCAAGAATGAATGCAAGTGTAAAGAAGACTCTGGTACATGCTTTTGCGTATTAGAAAAAACTGGTAATTTTTTTCCACGCACCTGACAATAGAAAAACCACAACAGTTTCAATCCACTGAGACATGTTCTCTAAGCTTGTTACGAAGTACGAGGTCGACTGAAAAAAAATGGAAAGTGGCATCATATGTGGATTATTCTAGAATCACTGATTCGTCTGATTTAAATTAAACAGGCAGACATTTTGTGCGAGTACATTGGTCCAAACGGTTGCTTCAACCGTTGTGGAATTTCCTAACTAAACAATTCTCCAAAATTAATAAAAGTGAACCTCATGTTCTAAAATTTGAATAGGATCCGTCGACAACATGCCATCCTCTTCAAAGCAAGTCACATAACCCCAAGAAGATTTCAAAACCAAAAAAATGTGGCCAATCAGGTCAAACACCACAGATGTTTAACTTATAGCGATGATTTCTTGATGTTAGAAAAAAAAAAAAAAAAAAAAAAAAAAAAAAAAAAAAAAAAAATCTAACCTACCTGCCTCACACACTGCTTCCAGTCTGCTTCATTGCAGAACACGTCAAGTTAACCTCTTTAAGTATCACAGAGCTGAGTGAAACCTGAGGATATCAGATCACAAATCTTTTAAAGTCACGTTTCAAGCTAAAACATCCTCTAAGTATTAACAGTCATTAGGAAAATCCTGATACGTGCTTACATGAAGGTCAGGAAAATTGTACAACGGAACTACCGAAAACCTCAGCTATCTATAACTCACATTTTATTCTGATTTCTCCAGAAAATGAACAGAAAGATGTCCAGAAATATAACACGCGCTATATTTACCCTGACTTTCGCTGTGTTCTTGCACATTTTGTTGTCTTCTTTTTCAATTTTTTTTTGAGTACTTTTTTTTTGCTGTAGTTGTCTTTCTTCACAATTGTAATCGCGTAAGAAAAATGCTCGAACTTGCGAGTTCCCTCAGACAGGCACTCCCTCTCCCCTCCCCTCCCCCGCCAACCCGCCTGTTTTCCTGTTTTCATAGACCAAAGGTCACGTTTACAGTTTACGTGCATATTTTTATGGTCCCTGTGTCAACTTTGTGACACGCTAAGTTGGAAAAACAACTAAAAGTGCTTCTACATCTACATCTACATATATTTAGTACGCAAAAACTATATACAATAGATGTACAGTATAAATTACAACTTTAGGATCTGCTTTTCATTTTAGGAGGTCGAGGTTTTGTTTTCGACCAGATTTGATTTTACAAACAACGTTTGATCCCGTTTTAGGCAACAATTTTAGAACTGAAAAAGTAAAGCGTCATGTATACATAAAACAGTATGTCACGCTTTACGAATTCAATAAAGAAAAATTAAAATCTTGTCTTACTTTGCCTTTCTGTAGAACTCACACGTCACGTATCAATCTTGGGCTTAATCACGCGTTGCGTAAAAACCGTTTCCTACCCTCTAATCAAGTAGACGTGGGAACTTCAAACCAAAATGGTGTTATTGTTTAGGTGGCAATTCGAAAACGTTCCGATAAATACTTGAAAACATCAAAAATTACTCGTCCGTAACACAGGCAGCCCAAGCTCACTACTAGAAAAGCGGACGTGACTCTTACCGTGTTGCGTAACGTTTTATATTTATAAAGGTTTGTGTGGGATGTTATCGGTTTGCCTTAAAAGAGAGAACTCGTCCCATGAATCTCCGGGGTTAATCAAAAACAGGCACCTCGAAGGTGGCCTGGTACCTTGAACGTTGCTCTCATGGACACTGCATAGTTTTTGGTCGCAATGTGCGGTTAGGGCAGCATTTGTTTGTTGCGCGGGTAAAAACACGAGAGAAACCACAGCAACCCTAAACGATAAAGAAGAGATATATTGAGCTGTACATCTGGGAACAACTGATTTGATATATGGATTTCTAAATTTGAAAGTGCTATTGCTACCAGCTCTTAATTTTTTTTTTTTATAAGGGCATAGCTAGGGACGGAGGGAGGAGGGAGGTTCAATTGGTTAGCCCTCCCCACCCCTCCCCACCGAGAGGCCTACCCATGATTGGAACTTGAAATTTTGGTGCATGACTTCACGTCTGAAACTTGACCCCTTAAGATCTGGGTTGAAAGCTAACTCTTAAATTTTTTTTTATTCAAGAAGAAACCGCATATGATGCAATAAATTAACGTCGACTGCAGGAAAAATTATTTTTGCAGTGAGAATAGGCAAAACAACATAAGGCGATAAACATCTCAAAGTGGTTTCAGCATTGCGCGCTATTAAAAACAAAACTATTCTTTGCAGAAATATCTCAAAAGGAGTGATTGGCGCATCATGAAACTTAAAAGAACTTTTTCTTCTTTGAAGATAGAGCTTTTAATCGCTTGAATCAGCATACGAAGATATCATCTTTTCAGTTCTTGCTGTGGCACTGCTAAAGACGATTATCCTATCTCAAAATAACGCCACAGTGGCATCCACCAGCGCATGCATATGATTTATATTCAAATTTTTCCTTGAAGAAATATTTCAATAGATGCGATCTGCACATCATTGAAACATTGAGGAAATTTTTTTCTTTAAAAAGAGATCAATTTATCGTTTGAATCAGCGGCTAACGCCGAATTTGCGAAAAGAGGAAGCTGCGAAACACGATTCCTTGAATTATTCAACGAAATGATAGAACAGATGAACGGTGCATTGATGAATGAAATAAAATGGATTGCAAAAAATAAATAAATAGATAAAATAAGAAACCATATGAAATTAAATTAAATGAAGCATAGGTAACCATCGTTAAAGCCCAGCGGATAAGGGATCCATGAGGCTTTCGAGCTAACCAAATTTATATTATCGTTGTATTATTATTGTTGTCATTATTATTATTGTTGTCATTATCATTATTGTTAATATTATTATGTTGAATGCTAATTAAAAAAGTTGTGGACCAAGGTACTCAAAAATATTTGGGATACGGCAAGTTTTCTGTTTTGCATGTGAGACAAATAGTTTGCAATACTACCTTCTAGCGTTATTGTTCAACCTCTAATTTTATTTAAATGCTATAATTAATTGTGCTCTATCCAAACTTCGTTTTTGTCTGCTTTTTCTCTCCTCGCTATATATTGTTCATCTGCTCATTTATTGCTCATGCATCTAAATTTGTTCGGTTACTGGCTCACTGGAAGAATTTTGGAACAGTTTGGAAGAATTTCGGAACAGTTTGTAATGACAGTATCAAATGTTAGGGCCTGGTTTTCGACGATTTCGCGCCAGAGCTAGCCTTGGTTTGTCTTTAATACGCGTGTGCAGTAGATGCTGTTCACTTCGAGCGTCTCTGGTATGTAAAACACATGATTTTGTCTCTCAAACCTAGTGATACACCTTCAGGGGAAGAAGAGAGACTCTTAAACAACCTTAAACGACTCCGAGAGACTCCAATTTCCTTCAATGGTTTTCAATTTTGCCTTCTTCCGGACTCTAGGAGAGGGTCTAATATTATTAATTACGATAGTTTTTGTCCTCATTTATGGACGTTTTATCCCTATTTTGGTTTTCAAACTATTTATCGAAACCATTCTTCTGGCTCGAATGATTCCTGGTATTGACCTCTCTCG